TTGGCTACATATTCAGTGATCAACACTGTTTTAGACAATGCTGAGCTTAAGCAGTTAAAACAAGACCTATCTGCAGGCTATTACGTTAGTGTGCTATTATTAATAAAAACATTTAGCTGTGATTTGGCAATATTATTGAAATAATTGCACTGAATAAGAAAATCACACAAAAGCAGCGCTGTCTTTGCCGGTGCTTTAATTTGCAGATTTTGTAACATTGATAGTACAAAGAAAGGCCTGAAAAAGAATCAACAATGCTTTTCATAAAGCTGCCTCTGAATGCATTTGATGAATTGCAAAGATATGTTTTTACATAAAAGACAAAGCAAAATTAAAAAGCAAAGAAATAACATCAAAGGTTAATGAAAAATCAGATTTCGGTATCATCATTCAGTCTTTTAGCATAAATCTTTCCTGGCTCTACAACAAGCATCTCATAGCTGTTGGCGAAGGCCTCCGTCAAAAAGGGACTAGAAGGTATCGGCACGTAATCTTGACAAAGCCTACCAGCAAGATTTGGCGCACACTCCACTTTGTATGAAAAGAAGAAGGTGCCATGCTTAAACATGCAGCTTTCGGTCACGTTTCCGCTACGCAGGTCAATTGAACACTTGCCAAGCAGATCACTGTTCCAGTATGTGTCTTCATCATAAACCACAAAACTTAGTTTATTTTTACTGTTGAGCTTGATGGGTCCAAACTCAAATACCTCTGACCATTTGGGATTATCATTGTTCCGTATAATGGCAGTGCGCTTTACCTGTTTACCATATTTAACCATCACTGAACCATCTGTCTTAGTACAGCAGTCACCATACAGGCCCTTTGCATAAAGTTTGAACACCTTCAATGTTGCGAGGCCTTTCCCAGCAGGGCAGCAGTTCGCCTGGACATTCTGGTTACTGTTGCAGACACAAGCACAAGGATCTCTTTTGTTCACTCTGTGGCCAATCTTACACGTTTCTGAGCACTTTTTCAGCAGAGCATTTCTCTTAATGTACTTCTCCACCTCCAACTTCAGTCCAGCAATGGCAGAATGATTAGTTGGCAGTATGGTGTGCAGTGGCTTTAAGTTGTATTGGACCACATCAGGTGTAGTTTTTAGTGAGTTGAGCCATTTCTTATAAACAGAAGCATCTGACTGCGCTTGAAAGAGTACATCAGCTCCATCGATGTTTCCACCAGTGACCTCTGTGAACCGCTCGTGAAATTTACCACTAAAGCTTGGCATGGACAGCTTTTTCTTTATTGAGTTACAGTACTGCATCATTGACTTAATGCTACTAGAATGAGCAAAGCGTCTCGAAGCCTCGACTAACAAACAATCATTGATTACTGTTGCTGACAGGCCGTTCATGGTCGCTTCGCATGTCCTGACAGCAGTGATGGCCTTCATGTCTCCTCCGAGAAGAACTTGTGTTATGTAATGCGTGCCATAGGTATCGATCAAAATGCGATATGATTCCTCTGTTTTTTGTGAATAAGCAGGAAGGGAGTTCACAGCTGATTCAAATTCATGCGTCAGTGGAGGTTTTGCTGCCAGTCTGTAGCTGTAAAAGACATGGATCACAAACAGTGGTTATAACTTCTTAATTTAAATCTCAATCAAAGAAAAAGTTAATTCCTTGTCTTTTTTTAACCAATTTGCTTTTTAACTGCTTTTGCTATAGGTTTAAAAAAAATGGAAAAATTCAAGCTAAGGATTTCCAAGTTAAGCAACATACACATTTGTTAAAGAGCAAACCACACTCACCGGTAAACATTACAAGAGAGAGAATGACGGAAGAAGGTGTAACGGTCTTTCTTTGACTTTTGCATGGCAAAGGTGCATTCTTTTGACCGGGAACCTCCATAAATTGGCTGAAAAGGCAGAGTGGCGTCTACAGAGAAATTCAGGCCGCTTTCCCAGTCATTGGAGACAGCTGACACAGAATCATTGGCAAACTTTTCAACGGAGTCGTAGACTATGCTGTAGACCTTCAAATCACACCTGGGGATGATTCTCCAGTCCACCACAGCAACAGGCACCTTCTGCTTTTCTTTTTTCACGAAGGGGTTTCTCTGCAGCTTACAAGAGCCATTCCCAGTCTTCCACGTTTCAGTGTCGATGATGGAGGCTCCTTTCCTCTCCATTTTGACAATGTCAAAACCTTCTCCACCCAGATTGTAGCCGGGGATGAAATTAGCCTTTTTACACTCGTCTGGTGTACCAATGAAGCTCACGCTGGAAGGAAGGCACGGAGGACTCCAAGCCCAGCACAGGAGCAGGAAGTGCCACAGCATAAACATCTGTGTAGATGAAATAAAAAAAATAACAGAAGAACAAAAATAAAATGGTTAAACAAAGCAATCTTTAAATTGACACTTTCAGCCCAGTGCAATAGTTTCATAATGACTATGAAGAGGACCTTACCTTGACTGTGAACTGCAAACTGTGATCGTGCTGTCAAAGTCCGACTGTCTGTATACTGTAACATTAATATGTAGGAGGTGGAGTCAATACTGTCTCATCTAATTATCAGCATTCACACATTATGTGCACTTCACTATGTTCAAAAAGTCTCACAGAGACTTCTTAAAAACAGATTTTTTTGTTTCACATGAAGAATTTTCTGAAATTATCAATCTGAACAAAAACAAAAAGAAAATGTTTACTTGTCAGACTGAGTCCCAAATAAATGGTTTCGTCTAGAAAATAAATACGAATGCAAAACAGAAGCAAAATGCATCTTTCAAGACATCTTTTGTTTAAAGGTTTGCTTTAATATGTCCTGTAGCCCAACCCAAAATGAACAAATGTGAAGTCCAGAGAAGTATTTAATAAATAAAAAATGTGAAGAGTATTGATTGTGGGCGTGCAGAATAAAATAAATCGTATGTCTGGAACTTCTCGCTACTGGATTCCGCATTTTTAAAGGAGTTGGTCGTATAAAAACTACTAAACACAAGAACCTAAAAATGTGAGGGTGAAAAGTTGAAAACAGGCTGAGTTAACACCATTATGGCTCAGCTCGCCCTTACATGTACACAAACAGCCTGTTTGCGATCACAGGGCGTAGTTCTGTTTCTGAGAAAGTAATGTGATACTGTGTTCTTTAAATGTGTTGCACAATGTTAGAGGAAAAACTTCCTATCAATGTAACATGTTTGTACATAAGCTTACAGAATCCTAATCCTGTGTATATATTTTTTTTTTTAAAGCTGGTGAGATCAAGTAAGCTTTTGACATCCTTGAACGTCTGAGAGTTAAACTATTTCCACTCCACCTTTACTTTGACCTTTTTGTAAAATATTTTCACAATAAAAAACAGAAATGAGTCCAAACAGATTCCTTCCATCAAAAAAACAAACAATAAAACCATCCATCTGCCCATCCATTTTCTTTTGTTTCTCCAGTTTGGAGTTACAGGTATGCTGGAGCCTCAGGTGTCATAAGGCGAGTTTTCACACCTATAACAAATTTAAAATCACCAGTCGCTCAAGCATGTGTGTCTTTGCTCTGGCTGAAGAAGCCAAAAAGCCCCAAAGATTTTATCAAATTACCAGTACCTAGACCAGCTATATTCCACTACTTCTGATGTGTTTATTTTTTTTTTGTTGATTTTTTTGTTTGTTTTTTTACATTTCTTCATTCATCCATCCATTTATTCATTTTCCTTCATCTTATTTTATTTGAAAAAATTGTGGATTGGAGGAATGTCTCTGTATTTAAATACATATGTGGACATAATAGTTGCAAAAACAGTGTGTATGTTCAGATCATGACTGGTGGGGTTTGTACAGGGAAATATCTGGAATTTTGCACATGTGCATTTAGAACAAAGGTTTCCTTTATTTGCATAAATGTGGCTGTTTGGTTTGCATAAAGATGTTCGGCTTCTTCTGCTGCTGTCCATCCTGTGCTGCAGTGTTACTGCACACATCCATACTGGATTTCTGCTTCAGTGCTGTAAGTAGTTGCAGTTCACATATGTACCACAAAGCGGCGCTAGTTTCATGTAGAAATGATGGAAACACACATAACAGACTTCAAACTTTTCCATAGCTTTTTTTTTTTTAGATTTTCTGTATAATTTATAAACCTTCCATGTTTCTCTGTGCAGGAATAAATAATGCTATTAATATTTCAATGTGAAATCGATGATTGGTCAGGATGCTGCTGGCTGCATAACAGTCAGAACTATAAACATGCATTTTACCCTTCATTATGCAGTTAACACATTATAACGTGACTCTGTAATAGCAGGGTTACACTGTTTACCAGCTACCGTCTGTCTTTGTGGAGTGTGCCTTTTCCCTTCTGTCAAAACAGCCAGATGAAGTTTTTGAACTTGAGCTGTTTGACCCGAGGGAATTGATGCATCTATTCTCTATTTATAACGCAGACAGGAGGTGTGCCATCACACAGAGGCAAAGTGATTGGTCGGGATCCTCAGAGGACTCTTTGTGCTTCTGTAAATACGCAATACACATGGGGAACATAGTTGCATCTGCTCTGTGAAAACATGTATGCATGCAACCATCCACGCATTGATCTACCGAAATGAATTCTTTGGAGATTGCAGATGTGCTCATGCATGCCCTATATGCATACAAGAAGGCAAACAAATTCACATGTATGCTTTAATGCCTATACACTTTCACAATGAAAGAGTTACAGTTTGCTGCTGGCACTCCCACATTATTGAAGCATACGTATGTATTTTCAAGATGTTCTGCACAAAATGAGCTTTTTCTTCCTTAAAGGTTCAAAGAAGCTCAACAAATACACACATATCATGTCCACCAATGATGTCTGTGAATGTGTATATCATACCTAATATAAGTTTCCCACGTGAAGCTTTAAACTTCACGTTTACAGATACTCACGGAGAGAACTGCCTCGGTTTTCTTTCATTTAAGAGTGAAAAGTGGCACATGTCAAATCACTACCCACAGACCTTTAATGCCTTAAAACTGGCTCATGGATAGCTTTTAGTCTGACATCTACTGACACAATAATTCAGATAGATAATGTAGATTTTATTGGACGAACAATGCAAGAGACACATGCAAATGCACGCAATGATGTTGTTTTACAGAGTACAAGAATACTGGGTTTTGAAAGTGTCACAAATATGTTTGTCATTAATAAATTAAGCAAAAATAAAACCCCAATTCTAAAAAAAAAAAAGTGATGCTGTGTAAAATCTAAATAAAAATAAAGTGTTATCATCTGAAATCTCATGAACCCATATTTTGTTCATAATAAAACAGAAAACATAAACAAAAATTTCAAGGGTATTTTGAATTTGATGCAACATATCGCAAAAAGAGTTGAGACAGGGTCACGTTTACCCCCCTTTTTTAACATCGGCCTGTAAATGTCTGGGAACTCAGGAGACCAGCTCAGAGTCTTTTGAACTTCTCATACAAGATTCTAGCTGCTCAACAGTCCTGGGTCTTCTTTCTATTATTTATCTTTTCACAATGTTTTCAAGTCAATGAACATCACCGCAAATGAAGCAAACGCACAGACACCGATGTTGTTTTTGTGACTGCTTTACTGGCACGTTTTTTAATAAGAATACATGAATGCAGTAATATTGCAATATATTTGCGATTACTATATGAGGCAGGAATGGTTCCACATGATAAGCAGTTAAGCAGAAATGAGAAGCAACAATATAAAAGTAATGTATGCATCACATAGTCTCCCTTTGTCCTACTTCAAGTCCCGGCTTGACTAATTTGCCATGCTGCTCACCAGTTTCTCCAATGAGGATACCATTTCTGGTATGAAAGACTTTGGCCAAAGAGGGACTCATGGGTGAGGGGATATACTCGTCACAGTAGTCACCACCTAGGCTTGGTGCACACTCTACTTTATAGGAAAAGAATAATGTACCGTGATTAAGCATGCAGCTGTAATTAAACCAGCCTTTGCGTGGTTTAACCTGACACTGCCCAAGATGATCACTGTTCCAGTATCTATCCTCGTCGTATACATTTAACACCAATTTGTCTCTCGTGTTAATAGTGATTGGTCCAAACTCAAATACCTCCGACCAACTGGGGTTATCATTGTTTGGTATAATAGCAGTGCGCCCTATCTGGTAACCATATTTAAGCTCTACTGAACCATCTGTCTGAGTACACTGGTCTCCATATAGATTCTTTGCATAAAGATTGAACACCTTCAATGTTGCACGACCTTTCCCAGCAGGACAGCAGTTCGACTTGATATTTTTATTACCATTACAGACACAAGCGCAAGGATCTCTTCTGCTGGATCTGGATCCAATCTTACAGGTTTCGGAACATTTTTTCATCAATGCGTTTTTCTTAATGTACTTTTCCACCTCTAGCTTCAGTCCCGCAATGGCATAATGGCTGCTTGGCAGAATCATGTGCATGGGCTTTATATTGTATCGGACCACATCAGGTATGGATTTAAGAGACTTGACCCAGTCCGTCATAACGGATGTTGATTGCCCTTGAAAGAGGATATCAGCTCCGTTAATGTGTCCACCAATGATCTCTGTGAATCGCTCACTAAATGTACTGCTGAAACTTTGCCCATGGTTTAACTTCCTTTTCATTGCCTCGCATTGTTTGTTCATGGTTTTAATGCTGGCAGAGCTCATGAAATTAACTGAGGCCTCCACTGTGAGACAGTCGTTGACATCTGTAGCTGACAGGCCATTCATGGCCGCCTGACAGGTCTTGATGGAAGTGACGGCCTTCATTTCTCCTCCTAGATACACTTGTGTGATGTAATGTGTGCCATATGTCTCAACCAAATTCCGGTATAAATGCTTGGTTGCAGATGAATAATAAGGAAGGGCCTTCACAACCGATTCAAAATCATGACTCAGTGGAGGATTTGCTTTTAGTCTGTAACTGTAAAGGACAGAAATAAAACAAAAAATTAAAAAATGTAAGCAATAATATAATATAGGTAATAAAATTTTACCCATATGATAAAATACTGTGGATGAGTTTGTCTGTCTGCAAATAACATAACTACTGGAATAACATAGGAAGATCTGCATATATAGGACTGTTTACTATTTGTAGTTTTTAGGAATTGAATTAATTCTGTTCAAATACTCACCTGTAGAAGTTACACTTGACAGAATGGCGAAAGAAAGTGTAACGATCTTGTTTTGACTTTTGCTTGGCGAAGGTAGATTCTTTGGAGTGGGAGCCTCCAAAACCAAGCCCAAGTCCAACGCTACCAGAAACAGGAATATCAAGGCCAACTTTCCAGTCATTGGACACAGATGATGTGGAATCATTAGCAAGCGTTTCAGCAGAATCATAGAGTGTACTGGAGACTGATAAACTGCACTTGGGGAACATTCTCCAGTCCAGCACGGCGGCAGGGACCTTCTGTTTTACCTGATTCATGTAGCTGTTTCTGTACATTCTGCAAGTGCCATCTTGAAGTTTCCACGTTTCAGTGTCGATGACATAGGCGCCTTTTCTTTCCATCGTCACAATGTCAAAGCCTTCTCCAGCCAAATTGTAACCAGGGACAAAGTGAGCCTTTTTGCACTCCTCTGGTGTACCAATGAAGCTCACACGGGATGAAAGACACAGAGGGCTCCATGCCCAGCACAGGAGCAGGACATGCCACAGCCTTCCCATCTATATGAAGGAAATAAAGAACAATAGAAGGAAATATAATAAAAGGCAATACAAGTTAAAATCTTGGGAAATTTAAAGCCATGAAAACTGGAAAATCTCAGAGTTTCACAGAATGAAGGTTTTGGGTGTCTTACCATCAGCATTAACAGGAAGTTCTGTTTGATGCCTCAAAATGGACAGCTTAAGATATTAGTGTCCAGGAGGTGGAGTCTTGAAAGGGTATTTAAAACTAGGTTCCAACAAATTTCTCACAAGTTTTACATTGAATCAGTTTTGTTCACACATTTTTACACACCCCACACCCTCCATTAGGCGTTGACGATAATTCATTAAACTTCTGCTAAGAACTAGAAGAAGAAAGAAGGCGACTTGTTAAAGACAAATAAATAAATAGCCAGAGGGTCAAACAGAGACCAGAATGAGAGGTTGGAACATTATCACGCAATACCTGAAGTGTAAAGTGTAAAGCAAATTATGGTGATGTTGATGATTATGTTTTGTGTATTTGATCTTCATGTTTGACCTCCTCCTTTTAAGTTGCTGTCAATATTTTTTGGTTATATATTCTGTAAAATATTTATTACATTTAACATAAATGTTTTATAACATTAATTTTTTTATATCTACTTTAAATCTAGAAACAAGGATTCAAGCAATTTATCATCCTGGAAGCAAAAGTGAATGTTAAGTTGTAAATCTAATTGTAAATGTTCTATTTTGAATTCTGAACAGTACTGTATTGTAAATGGTTTTCCCCCTTTGGTTAATGCAAAGACTCACTGAAATTCAATGGCTAACAGCATAAAACTTATATTTTCTTGACAACACAGCATCATAACCCAGTAAAAAGCTTTGCTCTTGCAAACCTGTTGTGCAAACCATGAAAACAGAGTTTATTGCTGGCAAGCCCAGCTGCCAGAACTCTGTTGCAATTTGATACAATTTCTTATAATGTGATTTTGAAAGGATATTAATAGCTTACACACAGATGAGTGTTATCATTCCTTTTCTTACTGTACCTAATGTTTGATAAAAAATACAGACACATTCAGGCACAAGGAAATTCCAACATGCCTACCAGGATACGTACAAAGAATTTTGAAATATAAACCTGCTTGTCATGTTTATGAAGTACAATAGGAAAGCATATTTTTATATATCCCGGATAAAAGAAACATTGGTGTTTTGTGGGGTGCGTCAGCTAGCTCACAGTTGGTTAGGCTTTCAGATGGAGGTAGTTAGTGCCGTAATCATCTTAAATAAGTTTCTGTTAACGTATTGTAGTAATAGCCCTCGAATCAGAGACTCGGACCCTTTGAACGGAGAGACACTCAGGACTTCTGTCCAGAGGTAACTGGGCTGAGCAGATGTTATTATAACATTGAATATTAAATAAACAGATGCAAGAGCAAGAATTCACACCAACACTTCACACCTCACCCTTACAAGTTCTTAAACACGCTGTTTATGCTCACAGAGCGCCGTTCAGTTGAAAATTAGTCCTGCATTTAGTTGACGCTTTGCAAATGTGTTGCACAGTTAAAGTCTTTTGCAAAAGTTTTCATCTGTGTTTTCTTGTTTATGCAAAAATGACAGTGTTCGATACTCATCAGACAGTGTGGACTTCACAGGAGTCCCACATCAGGAACACACTTGTTTATTTGTTTGTTTGTTTTTCCATGTGCAAAATTTCAAGACAGGAAACAATGCTTCTAGAATGTGCATTAACGAGGGGCATATCATTGAAAACAATGTAATAAAATCGCAGGTCAAATGATGCCAAGTTTCAAAAATGTTAAGCATGTTGTCCTGGGAAGTGGTGGAGCGTCACTAGGCAGAATGACTCCAGAACAGTTCAAAATACTTGAGTATTTTACTTTCAAGCCACTTCATACTTACTTATCAAAAATATAAGGAGGAAAAATACTCTTTACTGAGTTACATGTACGTGTCTATTTTCAGCTCTTTGGCTTTTTACTTCTTGAAAATAAGATTAAGAAACTCTTATATAACTAGTGACTTAATAAGAATTGTCTCAAAAGTAAAGGCTTTACAAACATTTTGTAAAAACTTCAATAATATTAGTATTATTACAATATTTCTCTGCTGTAATAGAAAAACTCATTGCTATAGGCTCTTGCATGCTGCAGGCTGATATGAGTATGAAGAATATGTAAATGGCAATAACCAACTAAAAGGTTTTAACCTTTTAGATCCTGTATCCTGATGTTTGGAAATTTACAACTTTGTGTTTCTGAATCTTATATATTGTTTTGTTTAATAGAATGTTTAATACTTTTAAACAATGGGGACTAAATTTTGTTATGCTGTTAAAAACCCCCACTGTCACTATGTGAGGATGTACTTGTTTTGTATCTTGTTTTGACTTTGGATGTTTTAGGAGATTAAAGACTCCTATGAGTTTTGTTTTTGTTTTTCAAATATGAGTAAATGTAAAATAATTTGACTAAATTGTGTTTATTTACAGGTTGGTTTAGTTCATTAGTTCCAGTGAAAGAAACTCTTAATTCTCCAGCATACCAAGACATTTTGGACAAATTCATGATCCCAACTTTGTGGGAACAGTTGGGGTTGGTCCTTTCCTGTCCCAACATGATTGAGCACCAGTGGACCAAACAAGGTCCATAAAGACATGGATGATGGTTGGTTTGGAAGAAACTGACTGACCTGCAAAGAGTCCTGACCCCAACCCAACAGAACACCTTTGAGTGGAATTAGAGTGGAGACTGCAAGCCAGGCCTTCTGTAACATCAGTGTGTGACCTCACAAATGCACTTATTGAAGAATCAATCAATCAATTCATTTATAAGCACAATTAAAAACAACACAGGTTGACCAAAGTGCTGTACATAGTAAACAAGTAAAAAGTAGATCAAACACACACAAAGAACAAAACAAAACTCAGTCACAATTAAAAGCTAGAGATTAAAAAATGTGGTTTTAAAAATGTCAAGGCTTGGAGAGATCCTAATTTCAAGAGGCAGACTTTTCCAAAGTTCGGGCGCAGAAATCTCAAAGGCCCGATCTCCTCTGTTTTTTAGCCTGCTTCTAGGAACAACTAGAAGCAACTTATCAGCTGACCTGAGAGTTCTATCGGGAGCATTTTTAGTTTAGAATGGTGAAAAATTCCCATAAACACATAAATTCCTCCTAAATCTCTCCAGAAAAGTTGAATCTGTTACAGGTGGAAAGGGTGACATCATATTAAACCCTATGGATTAAGAATAGGATGTCACCCAAGTTCATATGTGTGTGAAGGCAGACGAGTGAATATTTTTGTCAATGCAGTGTACGTAAAGGGAAAATCATCTTATCATCTTGTTGCTTTAATTAGTGTCCAGCAGGTGGCGCTGTTGATATAAATTTGCACTTTATGCTGATCTTATTTCTCAGTTATGGCACATGCATTACAAGCCTAGTGCAAAGAATTGACAAATATTTAACAACTTTTCCTGGCTTTTTAAGAATAGTAACTTTGTTTTTAGTTAAATAAAGTTATTATTATTTTTAAATGTAAAAAAAATTAAAAAGAAATAGGTGAGTATTTGATCACAACCGTATGTTAACTAAATGATATGACACATACCGTATATTTTATATATCTGTTTGTGCAAACTTTGCGAGACAAAGTGATGACTGCCAACTGCATCAGCAAAATTGGATTTTTCCTGCTGCCATGTGAGGGTAAATTATTCTGCTTCATTTTCTAAAAACATTATTAAAATTACAGTTCATTTGAACTGCCACATTTTCTTTTATAATATGACCACAATGGGTCACCAAACACAGTAATATGTACAGACTTAATATATGAATCAATTTGACTGAAGCCATACAACTAATTGACATGAGTCATCTTAAGGGTTTTTTTTTATATTATAAGGTTAAAAAAAACACATAGCATATTAGATAGAGAGAATCACAGTGATCAGATGATTCCCTGTGAGTCAAACAGTTGGCGATAGTAAGAAAGAAGAAATCCCTCTGTGACGGAGGTGTGGTTTGCGGGCTCGAGGGACCGTGCCAAGAAGGCTGGCAGGGCAGCTGAAAACCAGTAATTGTGGTCTCTCTATTTCAGTTATGCCGGGACCTCGATGAGCGGGAGAACAGGTGGAGGACACAGGGCAGTGGAACAAGATTTGTAAATAAACCACGTGACTTGCAATGCTAAGTGATGTTACAAATTTTAGTGCTGGCAACACTCGAGTCTTTACTGGTGTTTACATCCTTTTAACAGGAAGAGCTGCTATGAATGGTGCAGAAGGCCAGGGAATAGAAAGCACAAACAACCAACGGAAAAGAAAGGAAAACACAAACTATGGCAAAGTTTAGATACAAGTTAATGGCGTGCAGTAGTGGCATGTAAACACAGCAGGACAAAAAGTGGTGAATGCAGAAGAATATAATGCTAATAGATCAATGGAAGTCCTCCAGCAGCCTGAGTCTATAGCAACATGACTAAGATGTGTTTGAGGGTGAGCTGACTGACAAAGGATGGTTTGAACCCAAACTGGCAACTGGATCAACAAAATGGTTGTTTTTCTGGTTGTAAGGCACTATTCACCCCTCCACCCCCTCTGGTGCTTTTCTCACCAGGCCTTTATCTCTGTAGCTATACTGTTTGTGGTTTGTCACATTTGCTGTGTGTCATTTTTCTTTTTTCATCTTTTCTTTCTCTTAGCTTTTTCCTCACTCGAACACGTCCCTGACTCTTGTTCTGCTGGAGCTCTCCCCATGCTGAAATGGACTTATTCACTCTCCACTATCACCAAGTGCTGCTCATAGGCGTTTTCTCTTGCAGGGACTTCATCTGTAAGTTGGCACTATGTAAATAAATAATAGTTTTAGTGAAATAAGTTTATAGTTCTCAGCAGCGGCTGTATTTCCTGAGGAGGCTGAGGAAATTTAGTATGTCGGCCAAGATCCTCTGCAGGTTCAAAGACCCCACACACCCCCAACACAGACTATTCACACTTCTGCCCTCGGGACGAAGGTTTAGAAGTGTGAAATCTAGAACATCTTGACTCAACAACTCCGTCTTCCCCACTGCTATCAGACTCTTGAACAGCTGACCTATTTTAAAAGTAATAATCATTTTTGCACATCAGGTCATCTTACATATCAAACCAGCATATTAACCTAAGATATTCAGGATAAAATCAGATTGTTATTTAGTCATCAACTCATTTCACATCAACAGCTGCTCTTAC